GATCCATCGTTACAAAACTGTACTGAAGAATGGGGTTCTAAAGTTCATCTGTCTGACGCCCAAATACAACATTTATCATCTTATCCTGCTGCCTTGGCTCTTTTAAATACTAATCAGAGTATCTGTGGTACAGAGGGTTACTTGTCAAACATATTAAAAGGTCTTCGAACGTTTCGATTTTGAACTTTCTGCTCATGATGTCTCAGTTTTTCAGGCATTTTCTTTTTTTGTTCAAGTCAAAGTGCACTGCTTCAGAGTAACAGAAAATATTTTGTGCATCATTTCCTGCAGGCTTAATGAAACTCTGTTTTGGGGGAAGTAGTTACGCAGCAACAGATGCTTTGTAAAACCTTTGATGTCCCGCTAATAGGCCGAATAACCGTTGTTTTTAGAAAGATTAAATAGAGACAGGCATTCATTTTTTCCAAAAATGAAGGAAAGAGAAAATACCTGCAGCAATGAAACAACTAATTATTGAAATTAAAAACGTATTTTCCTTGTTAGATCTATTTTTCCATCATCACTCCATCATGTCTTTTTTAGGGGCAATGGGATCTTTAGTTCAGGTAGCAGGTCAACAGTTTATACCAAATGAAGAGGTGTATATTAACTGTAATCTGGGAACCTGAAGATTTACTTCAGATCCAGCCCAGCACTGTGTGTTCAGTTCTTCTTGTCATAATCTGTAATTAACATTGTGTTTTGGTTAGGGGTTAATTCAAGCTTTAAATGTTTAGAGTGTATAGGGCTTAGAATGCTATGATGGAAGTATATGATGGACATTCCCATGTTCAATCACGTCTCATAAGTTGTTGCAGCAATTTTTGGGTTGATACCATTTGTAACTCAGATTTGGTGTTAATTTAAAGCATTTTTCACCACTCAAGAATTTAGAAAATTGGTCAAAAATCCCTCCAAAATACTAAATCAAGACACCAAGAGCTTGAAAGATCCATGCTTGTGATGTGATTTGTTATCAAAAACTTGTGACATTTAGAGATTTCTACAAGAACTGCTTTTTAGGTGATTCAGTCGAAGCGTCTCTGTTCAGGAAACTGCTAAAAAAACAACAACTTATTGTCAGTATGCCTATCTGAATGCACAAGGTCTCTTGTTTGTCGTTGTGAACTTTCATGAGGCTGTGATTATCTTAGAGGTCACTATAGGTCATTTTATACAGTGGTGTCAAGTCTACAGTGAAATGGCATCATCACACGAGTAAAATTTGGTTTATTGAATCCACAAGAGTCTCAGCTTTCCAGTCAGACCCAATTCTAACACTGTTTATGGACTGCGGTGTGCAGAAATACTGAAATACAATTGGCAAAATATAAGGAAAATGGCTTGGTTTTTGCCCAAAACAGTTGGCGTGTCTGTAAAGGGGAGACCTGTGAGTACCCATAGCACCCATTTTGAGGTGAGAGGTCAAGGGACCCCCTGTGAAAATGTACATGCCAGATTTTGACATCACCAAAGTTTAGCTTAAATTTGGAGCATCATTTAAACCGGACAAGCTAGTGTAACATTGTTGGTACCCAAAGGATTCCTTAGGTCTTCTAGTCTCATATGATACATGGTACTTGACTGATTGTACAGCGGTTTAGATTGGTGAAGGAGCGAGACCACAACCTTTCAATTCCTGCTCTAAGCGCGAAAAGAAGTAAGTTCTTGAACTGTTCAGCAAAAAATGAATAACATCTACAATTCTGTAACAAAAGAGCAAACTTTTTCTGCTGATAAAGATCATGTACTATGGTCGTAAGCCACAGATATAATAGAAAGCCTTTGCTACTAAATGGACTTGGTGGTGAGATTGTTTTCTAAACTGATGTTTCTTGGGTCAAGATTGAACTTTGAACCTCCTAAAAAGGATAAAGATAACTTTCTTGAAACGTGCCTCATCTAGGCAGCGTATGTATCGAGTTAAAATTAGAGCCAAATTGCAGTCCATGTGAAGTTTGAAGGTTATTTTTTGGTTTCTGATCAGTTACAAATCATACAGTTGGGTTAAACTTCAACTTTGGTCAAAACTGCAATCCCCTGCCATATTTTAAGCGAGCTATTGTTGCAGAAGCAAAAATAAACCCTCCAAGGACCCAGGTTTAACTGAACAATGCCTCTTGTTCCAGAGTTATGTAAAACTGGTACACTTGTGGTAGCTCCCGTCTAAATTATGAAGTGAATAACCAAGTCTGGATGAAGTGTGAGGCAAGCTGTGCCTGTGGAGAGCCTGAAACTGTGAGCGTGGTCAGTTTTAGAGGACTAACGGCGGTTTACTTGGTTTGTCAGAAACACAAACTCTCATCAGGCTGGTTTTGGCCCTGATGTTGAAACAACCAGTCTTCACTCATGCACTCACAGAGGTTCTGTCCACATATCCAGTGACTCTATATTAAAACCTGGAAGGACATGACCCTTTAGGAAAACACTGGCCCCCTGGACACACTCACACATACAAACACTCATACACACATTCACACTGGACTGTTGGGTCTCATATTTCTGAGCCTGCTCATGTCCAATTGCTGCCTTTTCTCTACAGACCTTAATGTAAATACAAGAAGGGGTTATACAAACACACACACACACACACACACACACTCACACTCACACTCACACAGGGGTACCCCGCCAGTGAAAGTGTGAAATGTAGCACACTGTTGGACCATTTCCCCCCTGCAGATGAAAAGAGGGGGTATTGAAAAGAAACAAAAAAGAAGGTTGGAATAAGAGAAACTAAGAGACTTAAAAAAAACACCCTCAAAACTCACAAGTGCTAAAAGGAGTATGGCAGATATGCCTAAGTGGTACATTGTAGGCAGCTAGACTTGCTTGAGTTTCCTGAAGACGTTTCACCTCTCATCCAAGAGGCTTCTTAAAGCCTCAACAACTCTGAAAGGGTTCACGGCCACAGAGTTTAAAGCCTGCAACTCCGCACCGGTCAGTGAGAACTGAAGAGGCTTCTTGCATGAGAGGTGAAATGTCTTCAAGAAACTCAAGCAAGTCCAAGTTCCTAGGATATAGCACTAAGGATCACTATGACCTGGACTGGCAGATATGTTTTATACCTTATAGAGTGAATATACTTAAATGACACCAGGTCGCAGCAGTGCAAACTGTGGACTTTAGGGGAAGTTTAGTGTCTTTATAGTCGATGCTTGCATGGTCACATAAGGAAAAATGTCTTCTCACATCTATCGCAAGTATAATTTCAAAGTGATACATCTGGGACATGAACTTCACAATGCTTGATGGACAGTTCGGGTGTTGGTTGCGTTGCTGGTGGTCTTCACAAGAGCTGTTCAGTTCCATTGTTTGTTGTGAGTTTGTGTGTGTCATCATGGCAGAATGTGGCCTTGGTGACACCATTTATAGCCGAAACTTACACAGAATACAGAGAGTATTTTGCCAGGTGTTAATGTCGCTGTCTGTCAGGGTGATAAAGTCATCATGTATGACAGAGGAAATAAGCTCAATTATCTAATCGATTTGTGTCTTAATGTTGTTGGTTTATGACTATAGTGGTTATGGGTTTCCTGGGAAGCAGGGGAGATGGAGGGTGGATGTTGGGTATATGGTATCATACTTTGCCTTTTGTCACTTGTATGACTGCAGAGAGGCTCGCCATCCTGTTATACAAATAATAAAAAATGGATCACAAAAACAAAAAAAACGTTGCAATTGTGTAAGATGCAGTCACGAAACTTCACAGGTCTGCAGGTGAGATCAAAATGAGGGTAGAGTTTGAAGATTTTTTTTTTTTTGTTTGAAGGTTTTTTCACCCCTGATCTCGATCATTAAATACTGATATCTGCCTATCCTGAGTTTGGTGTGATACTTCTAATAACCAAAATGTTAAAATCATAGACTGTATATAATGATGGACAATGCATCTCTACTTCTTCCACTGTACAAAAATGAAGCCAGAATATCTTGCTGCAACACTAGCTGGCTAAGGTAGACAAAACGTGGAATAGTGATTGGCTTTACTTTAGCTGATACTATTAAAGTATACCTGGACTGGCCTGAGACTGATTCTTAGGATCAGCTTGGGACTCTTTGAGTATATAGCTGCCTCAAGCTTATCAGAGTTACTGACACTGTGCATACGCTTGCTTTTACAACTTGCCTTCAAGTACGCACGTCTGTGTGCGTGTGTGTGTGTGTATGTGGCCATTTAAGTGTGTCTCTGTGTGGATTAGTTGTTGTAATCACCAGCCAAAGTATCTGGCCGAGCATTAGAAGGTGGAACGGGATCAGAAGAAAACATTTTGTTTATTGAAAACAGCTGAAGCAGGGAGGGAATATGTTTTCTACTCTGCGTGTGTTCAGCTTGAACCAAACAGTGAAACATTAAATCAAACCTCCCCGACTTTGCTCTCGTATAACAGAACTGAAGAAAGGTGTAAAACTCACTCTGCTGGAAGAATCGGGTTCTGAAGCTTGGATGTCTAACACGCTGACAGAAATGTGATTTGCAGGTTTCACACTGAAAGATACTGTTACAGTTTAACTCAGTGGAGGACTAGACGGTTATAAAAGAACATAAATGTGAGGGAACGGCTTTTTTAGCAGGAGACTTCTGTTACTAAGTTGTGTTCAAGTGTGGTGTTAATAACACTTTAGTTAGTGAGGCCCCACACATACAGTTTGCTCTCTGAACATCTTTGGATGAAAGCTTCCTCTTCAAGTCATGAGTGAAGTGATAATGGAGGAGTCAGCTGGTCGTCTGCGCAACATCATGTGTTTATAGTCAAACAGATTTTGTGTTGCCTGTTGCTGATGTGCGTCACTATCACAATATACAGCTGCTATACGTGTATGTGTTTTAAATGTTGGAGCTGCTCTCATACTGTGGATGTATGGCTGCACTGTATGGACAGTGGAAGCAGTCCAGCCCCCCTCTGTGAGTGCGTCTGTAGGAGGTCTGCCAAGCGAGGTTTACAGGCTCGCACCAGGCCTGGAGGAGGGTTTGCTGTAGCTGTTAAGAGTGCTAAACCATGTTCCCCCCTTCAGATCAGACCCCCGTGCCGCTGGGCTTCAAACACGCTGCCCTTTCTCAGAACACGCCGTGCATGTGGCAGGGGGGAGGGATAAAGGGGGAGTCGGAGGGAGGGAAGAAAGAGAGAGGTGCAACGGGAATACCGCCAACTCAAGTTACCACTTAGTTAAATAACGCCAGAACGCACGCACCCACACATGCACTGACACACCCATGCAGGAATTCATATCACAAACACACCACGCAGCCTGCCTGTATGCTATTAATACCAGCCCCGAGGATGCAGGTCATGCCTCGTATTTGCATTTCAAATGCGTCTTTCACTCCATCATCCAAATAGTGATGCTTTAAAGACATTTGGCGCTGCTTTAAACGCTCTGAGCTTTCAGGTGGTCTTCTCAAACCTACGCACAGATCTGTATATGTACCAACATGCACGATAAACATATCCAATTACAATTATGCAGGCACTCTCACGTATTTACTGCAGGTGGTCCGAGGCTGTTTAGTTCTCTTCTTCTCCATAACGACCATCAGGTTTTGGTTGAAGTTTCAGGTTCAAGCTGAGTTAACCGCATGCCCCCCTCATGTATTTTGACAGACCTGATATTGCATCGTATCAGCCCTCCCCTCCTCCCTGTTAAAGGGCCCCTCGGATACATTGGTTCCATCTTGAAGCGGTTCTTAGCGTGAAGGTCCGGACAGATGTTTGTATCTACTTGATAATCAATGTGGGAAGACACACTGAGCGAGGGAAACTGATACACCAGCGTGAGAGTAGAAGCAACATGACACTGTGGGGTATGATACAGGCACATACAGTATGAAGGTATTCAAGGAAGAGTTTGATCTTTGTAGCACGCCATTTTTTTTCCCTGAAAGGTACTCTTGGGGAAATTTTTTTCCAGCTTATTTCAGATATTTAGTGAACAAATTTATGATCATGCCTCTCAGCAGAAGTTAGGAAGTAGTCATTTGAAAGGTTAAGGGTAGAGGCATGTTAGTGGACTTGTAGCATTAATTTCACAGCTTTCATCACCAGTGATTTGTAGTAGCAGCAAGTCTGTGGCGCCGTCACATCAAAGGACAGACATATGTTATTTGTCATTCGGTTTTCTGGTTTGAAGAAATGTGAAGAAAGAAAAAGAAATGTGAAGCTGGTCCATTGCTGAGCAGTTTAAAATGCATGGCAGGGTGTTGAGCAGTGATAATGTTGACATAAAATAAGACTAAATATGTTCATCATCAATGTTTTTTCCATGACTTAGGCCCTGTCTGCACGCAAACAGAAATTTTTTTATGTAGATATTTTCCCCTTTGTTTGTTGTCCCCCAATTGGAGGTCTCATCACTGTTGATTCCCCTTCGTAAGTAGGATAAAGGAGCTCACTCAAACACACAAGTGATGCTGTAAACACTTGAAAGCTTTCCTTTCTCTCCTCATTGACAGCAATCCCACTGTCTAATTGTCCCATCTGCTACCATTTCACTGGGCCTAATCCAAAGCTGCTGATGCTGAGGTGTATCAAACGGGTACAGCGAATGCTGCTGTTTGTCCGTGAAGTGCTGCAGCAGTACTTAGGTTAAGTGTGAAGTAGTTATTAGTCATTAGACTGAGCAGTGCTGATGAAATGGAAACAACCTGGTAAGAATGTCCACCTTTGTCATTGTGCCTGGCGCACGCCTATTATATAAAGCAAAAATGGGCATGTGCAAATTAAGGAGATGATATCATCCTTTCCCCAAAGCTCAACAGTTTTGAAAATCTGCACCTTCTAAGGTGTTTTAAAAAATATGTTTGTGCATAAACATGAGACCAAAACGTAGAGGAAAACATCCATTCACAAAAATGTCTGTATACATGTAGACAGGGCCTCAGGGATGAGATAAAGAGGAGATGTCACTGACATCATTTAACACTGTGACTGTGTCATCTTGGAATATTGTTGACAAAAAAGACAAGACTAAGCACAGTTTTTTTTTTTGTTTTTTTTTTTAAGCTTATTTTTTTGGGTGCTTTTGCTAACACTAGATAGGAAAGTATGGGGCCATTATGGTAGCACTTTGTTAAAATAACTCATAATAACTCATAGTAAAATGACTTTATTTTAACAAAGCTTGGCAATACTAAGTTACTCATGACAACTACTGCAGAAAACCTGAACATGTACTTACAGAGAGCAAACGAGAATCCATAGGCCTCCAAGGCTGCAGCCTGTCCATACAACAAAACAGCTCGGCAAAGTAGCGTCTGTGAGCCTGTGCTCAGGGCAAAACAATCTGAAGGTTGCGGCAGCTTAAGCCTGTCAGCCTGTGCTCAGGGTGACGCACACAGACACAAATCTTCTCACGCATTTGCGGATCTCACACAGCAGAAGAGTAGCAAAAATCGCGTGTACAAAGAGAGCCAACTGAGAGGCCCGACTGAGTTAAAACTGAAGACATAATTATTTACAAATCTGCCCACATATTTACAGATCTCTGTACGCATTTGCAGATCTGTGTACAGATTTACAGATCGCAATACACTTGCAAATCTGAATACAGATTTGTAGATTTTTTTACACATTAACATATCTGATTACGCACACACAGATTCTAAATACACATTTGCAGCAATTTTGCTACCATAATGGCCCCATAGGAAAGGTCCAGCATGAAATAGGAAGAGAGAGAGGGGACGACATGTAGAAAAGGGCCGTAGCCAGAATCGAGCCCATGGCTGCCATGGCAAGGACACGGCCCCTGCACATGGGGCACCTTTTTATAATGCAGCATTTCTGTTTCGTCAGCTACTTGCACTAGTTTCATGTCCTGTGCTGCGCCAGACCGCACCCACAATAAGCACAGTCACCACTGGACTCCACAGGGAGCAGCTGTGTCATGTTTCGGCTACACCACGGCCGCCAGAGCTGACCGCAGCCACTCTAGACAATGCTTGTGATTTCACCAGAACGCACCACAGGGCATTTCAGAAGCGTCCTAAAAGTAGCTCCCTGCTCTGCTCTGCTAAAAATAGACTCTGAGTTAGTTACTCAAGTTAAAGTAAACAGTGACAAGAACAGGACTTTGGGCCCATATTGGATGTATTTATTCCATTGATACCATCGAACAACTAGACCAGGCACTTTCTGCAAAGCTGCATTCAACTTTTTTATCTGATAATGATAACATAAAATCATATGTGAATTAAGTTTGACTAAAATGACATTTTTGATTTTGTCTGGACTAGACTGACTAAGTCTAAGTCTAGTATACTGAAGTTTGTTTTTTTTTTTTGACCAAGATAAGACATCAATGCCCAGGCTTTTAGTCAACTAAAACTTGACTAAATATAATAAAAGTTATCCAGAACTGTTGACAAAGGACTAAAATTACATTTTAAAAAATAGCTGACAAAATTAACATTAGTGTTGAGGCCAGATTGCTGGATGTAAAGTAAGGTTTTGAACACCAGAAGTCTCTGTACGTGTCGTCTTTCCTCTGAGGTTTAACACCTCCGTCTCACCATTGGACCAGATTTTACCTGCCACACTTCAGCAGCGTCACCAGCCTGCTTTCACCTAAAAAGCCTGTGTGCTCTAAATATTATCAGATGTTGCAGTGATAACAGCGGTGCTTCTGCATTCCACCTCCCTGAACTTGTAACAGTCTGCATCCAATTTGTGAGAGCAGACCAATGTATCATTGATATCTTGAATTTATGTTGGACAAACCATCATACATCACGACCCCATGCTGAAACAGCTGCGTCTTATAAAACAACTGTCAGATGCTGATAGGAAACAGAAAAAACTCTCCTCCCTAAATAATCCCTCCTAATTCCCAAACACTTGTGAATCTTCGTGACTTTTTTTGTTTGAGACCCAGCTGAGCTTTGTGCACATGATAAATGTTTATTTTTCTATAACTGGAGTGAAATGTGGGTGTAGGAATCATGGCTTCATCAAGAGAGTTCAGCACGGCGATGAAAGAACAAGTGAATATTTATTTGTCTGATGCTTGGGATTTGCTTTATTATTCATGATCGATTATTAGCTAATGATGCGTCTTGTCTTTCTCTCTCTGTCACCAGATGACTCCAGTTCAAGAGGCGGAGCAGCGACGACCACTGGTGACTCTGAACACACCCCGGATCTGGCTGGGAAACTGGGTAACCACTCACAACTCCTCTGATTGCGTCACTGCAGGATTTCAAACATTTGAAGATGAGAGGGAAGCCTAGAAGTGACACTTTAGATAGCTGAGAGTGTGTAGCATTTTAAAAAGTACAGTAGCAGATTGTGCAATAAACACCCTTGCACACTGTTAGAGGTGAGGCCCACACACATACACAAAGCACACACACATCAGGGTGGTTGTTTGCTCAGATAATTGGCTCTGACAGAGTGGAGGGCAGTCTATTTGTGTGAGGTGTGATTTGGTGGGACACATTCCTTCCCCCCCCCTCTCAAGTCTCTCCGGTCCCCCTGCATGTAACTCAACCCTTCTTTGCTTTTTGTTATCCTTTTATCCACCACTCTTTCTCCTTCCCCTTCTCCCTGTGGATCTCTGCATCATAAACGTCCGTGCATACTCACACTTAAATGTCAACAAACATTTACCCTCGCTTTGTTTTCTCACACACATTCTTTGCCTCTGTCTGCTCTCACACAGCCAAACGTTCACACTCAATGCTCTGGCTGCATTCAAACCAACCTCAGCCCTATGTGAAAAAACACAGCCCCCATATTTATTTGAATGAGGCCAGTCTGGCGACGCAGCGTCATAACACAGCATCAAAGCTAAACAGCCAATCACATAGATAATCTCACATGAACACGGTATCCGCTGTTTACCTTGTGATCACTGAAACAACAGATTGTTACAAGACATTGTGCTGTGTTTTGGTGTTTGATAAGCCTTTGAACACATGAATCGGTTACTCTGACTGGACTTCATGGGTCGTATTTCATTGATAAATTTAATGATAAATCTTCAACAGCTGCATATGTGAACTGGCAGGCAGTTAGCAGCAAAAAACAGGAAGCAGGGGTAAAAAGGTAGCGTGGCTCAGGCCAAATTGTCTACAAATTGTATCTTCTAGGCATGTCAAGATACCAGACATGTAGAAATTGATACCAATACCAGTGAAATTCCACAGTGTTCAACACCCAGTTCAATACCACAATAAAAAACAAGAACAACACAATGAATCCTGCACACTCCTTCATAAAAACACTGACATTAAATTTCAATTAATTAACAATTCCTGATGAGTGCTAGTGGGTGTGGGTTCATGAGATTTTGTGCAAACATATGTAACATGTAGCACAGTATACTATCATATCTCCTCCATTGTTGTTGTTCACCCAAGTGAGGGAATTTAAGTATCTCGGGGTCTTGTTCACAAGTGAGGGTAGACTAGAACGTGAGATGGATTGTCGGTTTGGCGCAGCATTGGCAGTGATGCGGGCGCTTTGCTGGACCGTCGTGATGAAGAGAGAGCTGAGCTGGAAGGCAAAGCTTTTGATTTACTGGTCCATCTACGTTCTAACCCTCACCTATGGTCATGAGCTCTGGGTAATGATGGACAGAATGAGGTCACAGATACAAGCGGCCGAAATGAGTTTCCTTCGAAGGGTGTCTGGGCTCAGCCTTAGAGATAGGGTGAGGAGCTCGGACATCCAGAGGGAGCTCGGAGTAGAGCCACAGCTCCTTTGCATCCAAAGGGTTCAGTTGAGGTGGTTCGGGCATCTGATCAGGATGCCTCCTGGGTGCCTCCTGTTAGAGGTGTTTGGGCACATCCCACTGGTAGGAGGCTCCAGGGCAGACCCAGAACACGCTGGAGGGATTAAATATCTCATCTGGGCTGGGAACGCAGGTAACAAGCACAGCATTTTACCTAACACTGAAGCTCAAAAAATGTGCAGAGCTCACTGCAGATTGCAACAATACTTTTCTTTTTGACAAGTTGAAGCGGAGCTGTCTCAGCAGCTGTACTTGTCACCATCTTTCACGCGGTGTTGTTCTTCAGTGCTGATGGGCATCCTTCTTCATCTGCAGAACAGAAAACCTGTAGGTATAAATGCTGCCCCTATGAGTCTGGAACAGTCACATCCCTGGTACCTAAGCTACTGGAGAAAAAAAGAGTACAGCTGCATTTCTAGAATTTTGGTATCGCCTTGTTACCAAAGTATTGATTCTCTTGACATCCCTAGTATTTTGTTTATTTAATCCATACACATACAAAAATAAAGAAATAACATTTTGTGGTTTTATGGGAAGTTATGTGCTCTAACTGTTTCTTTACTCACACTACCTCTGTGCTGAATTTTATGGTGACAATATGACTGCTCCTCTTGGCTTTTGTCGACCAAGACATAGCTGTAACTCCTAATAAAACTACAAATTGTCATTCTTTAACTCCTCTGTTTGTCTATGGATTAAACAAACAATATATGTGGTAAAGACTAAGCTTAAGAGGTGCAGTCAGGCTTATTTTTTAGCTCTGGAGAGATCCAGGATCGTTCTTACACCTGCTTCCAGTCCAGTCTTAGCCGAACTTAATGTACAGACATCACAGTGGTGTCAATTTTCACATCTCACAGGAAAAAAATTAAACTGCATTGAGATAAATCTAATCCTCATTCTAATCTGAATCCGAAACCAAATCATCACTTAAACTGCTCCTGTCAAAATAAGCCAAAATGACCTCAGTGAGCAAAAATCTCCTCAGTCTCTGAATCCAAGTTGGGAATCAGAAGGCGCTCCCTCTCACACTCACACACACTCTCCCTCTGTCTGTTTCTGACACACTGTCTGATCAAAGGCGGTCAGTCGGAGGGTCAGCAGTATTTTTACACTGTGAAGTGTGGCGTTGAAGTGGCCCCTGAGACCCAGAACAAGCCTGCCCTTTCGCCCGTCCTGGCTCTCACCTTCTCCCTTTCTCCCCTCTCCACCTCGCCGCTCTCTCAGCTCCCCTCTCGCTCTGTTTTTCTTTCTCTCCACCTCCTTGTGTGCCCTCTCTCTTACCTTTGCCTTTTTATTGTTTTAACTCCATCTCTCCTTCTCTTTGTTCTCCATTTCTCTGCCGTCACTCCAGTTTTATTCGTCTGTTTTCAGTAATCTGTCAGTCCTCTGTATGTGCTAACCCTAATTTGAACTTCGCTCTGTCTCATTCCATCTGTTTTCTCCTCAACTTCTGTTTGATTTGGTTCAGCTTAGACAGTATAAATCCGTTTATTTCAGTTGCACTTTGCTGTATTTCGCTCACTCTCCAGTTCAGCTGCACTTTCCTTTGGCTCTCCCCTCCTCACCTTTAATTAATTTCAGCCCCAGCCGGTGCAGTTGAATTTATTTAATCATCAAAGTAGGACACTGCCAGAACATTAAACTGTTAATCATGATCTTGTATTTATCCTCTGCTCTCTTTGTTAGATCTATTGACTCAGTCTGGTCACAGTTCAGCTGTAGTCCAGTAGCTTTTCTCAGACCCGGGGGGGGCAGAGGCAAGACTTAAAAGCCTTTGGAGTATGTTTGTTCTGTCATCCTGCCCAGCTTCCTGCTGGTCAGCAGAGAACTATATTCCGCTGAGTAATGTAGCCGTAGTGAAATCTCCACATTTGAGCGCGCAAAGCCGTCACATAACTCTCCCCCTTGTTTGTTTACCCAGAGCTAGAATAATAACTGTGTCCAAAGAAAGAGGCGCAACTGCAGTAGTTTGAGGCTGATTTATCACCCCGGCTGATGGCTATCTGCTGCGGCTGGAACATGAGGGCTGTAAAATCAAGCGCTCCTGTGAATGATTTCCTCTCCTCTCTCCCTACTGGATAGTTTGTTTCCTCTTTGATCTGCTCTCACTGCTCGCTGATTATTGTGGTTTTCAAGGAGGGATATGTGTGTCTGAAAAGATGAACAGGTTTCAGTTTGGTTGTGTGACTGTCATATCTTTGAGCGGCCCATCATGCAACTGCACAGAGGGATGTGGATGTTTGAGTAGGCGTGTGGGGTTAACTGGCCGTTTTATGTTTCGTTAGAAAGGATTTGCATGAATGAATGGATGTTTAGTGTGATGCTAAGTAACTGTCTGGCTTTTTACGACTTGTGCACAGATACGCATCCATGACTGGATATTTACAGTGATGTCACACAGCTGGTTTTACAGTGAGGTCTCATGGAAGCATGATTTGAGGTAAAATATGTGGCTTTTTAAGAGCAGCAGACACGTACAGCCCCGGGGCCAGAGGTGCTGGATCAGTGGAAAATAGGGAATCTGGTGTGTGTATGTCTGTTGTGTGTACATGCATGTGTTTGTGCATGTAGGTTCCCCGTCATGTGAGTAAGTCCTTTGTGTCAGGGAGAAGAGGAAGTGATTCAAACATTTTTCTTAAACAAACAATTAGGTTTATTACAGCAAATTAGGTTGTATATACCAAGAGGCACGCTGCCATATGTTGTTAAAGCACAACATGGAATTCTTGGCACCACCTGTGGCGATGACCTCAGCCTGTCTGAGGCTCCTTACACTGTAAAAAATGTCCATCTCAACAAGCAACCACGTCTAAAAATTCTCTGCAGACTGAGATGATTCAATTTGTTCCCACAGTAATTCCATTTTTCTTGTTTACAAAGTCTGTGGGAACACATGTCAGTATAACGAGGTCGTCTTTTCACACAGAGCCTGAGCGCTTGTGTGTGGATGCAGATTATTATTATTATTATTATTATTATTATTATTATTAACTTCAAAGAAATTGATTTCATGGTGTGCACTCGAATGTTACGCATCAGTGCAGAATATTCGTTGGGCAGAAAATGAATTTGTAATCACATTAGTTGCTGCAAATGTCTGCGTACATAAACAAGGGTTCAACCAATAAAACCTCAGAATAAGCAACGAGGAAACAACCAGGCTCAGTTCATGAAGCCAAACAGACGTGCAGACAATATCTGTGTGATTATAGAGAGTTTCAGAGAGCCCCTTGGAGAATGTGCTCCATCGTGACATCTGGAGGAAATGTATTTATATAATTAACAGACAGTAGTTTGGATTTTCCTGTTTTGTCCTTCAGAAGCAGTGATGGAAGTGAGCTGGTATTCACTGATACGCAGCTGGCACTTTTACATTTTAGTCTCTGGTGATTTCACACGGCACTTCTCACAAACTGCCTGTATTCTTGGCCTCCCTTTTCACATCAGGTTCTCTTGGCAATTACAATGGCCCTGAATAAACTGCATTACCCAGGGGGCACTGTGTTACACTTACCTGACTGTTGCCATTCTCACCTGCCTGCTTCTTTCTGTCAGTGTCTAGTCAAAGTAACAATAATGTTGGCCTGGCTCTGAATGGGTGACACAAAGAGAACACAAACAGTGTGAAGACACAACAGATCCTTGAAAGTCAAATCCTGCGTTACTAAAGAGTTGTATGAGGATATGTTGCTCACACACACGTCAACATGCGAGTAATGGGAACATTGTTTGAGAGTTAGTTTCATTTAACCCTTTGAAACTTGAGCAAATTGGCTTGATCTCTTTTAAAAACACCTGAAGAAGATAATTAGCATCAAAAAGCAAGAAATTAGTTAAAACAAAAACAGAGAGAGAGAAAATAAAAAACAAGAAAATAAGTAAATAAATAAAAAAAAAAAAGAAAGAAAGGAAGTTAAAAACAACCACAAAAGAAAATGATCTGGAAAGGGTGCTTAAAAATTATTTTAATTCTGTAACATAATTTTAGAACGTTATAAAAATAAGAATTATAAATATAGTTTTTCCCTAGCTTTTTTAATTTTCCTCTGTTATTTATTATTTTATTTTTATTTTTTTGCAATTTGTGGGACATTTCTTACCAAGTTGCTCATTGCATTTTTTTTATTATTTTTTTTTTGTAAGAAATTGTACCAATTGGTTTCAAAGGTTTAAATACTTACAAAGGCATCTGAAAGCGGCACAAGAAAAGTGATGTCCCTCCAGGTTTCAAAGGGTTAAAAGGAAAGTTGGTCTTTTCTTCAGCAGCCTAAGCTACTACTGCATTGCCGCAGAGGAAGAAGAATAAAGGTGGACAGTGCTGAAGCTTAGCTCCAGGATTTTGAGAATAAGATACCAAGAAAAATACAGTAAAATGTTAAGAAATAAAATCTATGAAAGCAGCATGTCTTCAAAATGCTAGTAGTAGGTTTCTATATAGCAGAAATAGTGAGCTAACAGACACTGTAGCTCAAAGGGCTTGAAACATTTGTGAAAGCTTTTCTCTGTGCGGTGGCCTCTTCAGATAACGTGGCTTTGAGCGTCTCATAAAAGTCTCATATACGACTCTCTGAAGAATTCCACCATCTTTCCCAATCTGGTTTCCTCTGGTCTGAAGAGCAGAACACTGCTTGTAAATATAAAACTGCTCCATAAACCATTTATCTCCACTAATAACTTCTTCTGTTCTCTCCTTAACTTTTTCCCATCTGTTGCTGACTGAGAGTGAGTGAGGAAGGAAAGTTTCTGTGTCTTTACGTTTTGAGTTTAAAGCAACTTTACATTAAGCTCCCATATTCTACAGGCAGATAATAGCAGCACACATTTTCCAAAACTACATCTCTTTCTAATCACAGTTTTATTTCTCTCTCCACCTTCTCTCCACTTGCAGTGCGTCCACGCTTCACTCAGCCATCAAAGATGAGGAAGCGCGTCATTGCTCGCCCGGTGGGCAGCTCGGTACGCCTGAAGTGTACAGCGAGCGGTAACCCTCGTCCCGACATCGTGTGGCTGAAGGACAGTCGGCCGCTGGTGGACGACGACGCTGGGGCAGGAGGAGAAGGAGAAGGGAAGAAGAAGAAGTGGACTCTGAGTCTGAAGAACCTGACGCCAGAGCACAGCGGGAAGTACACCTGCCACGTGTCCAACAGAGCCGGAGAGATCAACGCCACCTACAAAGTGGAAGTCATACGTGAGTCACTAAGTAACTGGATGGTTTAGAGATATGAATTAGTTATTAAAGTTTTTGTCTTTGGTTAAGATTGGTTGAAGTATAATGTTAGGAAGAATGTGCAACAAAAAGAAAAGGTGAAATAATCCATAGGAAGGGAAACAATGCAGAGAGGGAGGAGAACACAGTTTGGCAGTTTTGAAGAGGTGTGTTTTTTGGACACCAGAGGATTATTTGTGATCGTGAGACATCTGAGCGGCAGTTGGATAAATATCCAATCCCCCCGTGGAGTCCAGACACTGGTGGTGGTGGTGGTGGCTGCTGACTTTGGTCGATGACTGCTGAGGTGAATAGAGGCTGCGTCTGAGAAGACTAGGTGGTGATGGGGAGGTGGAGAAGAAGAGGATGAGAAGCAGTGAGATGATAGGCTGACAGAGAAGGTGTGTGGCTGTGCTGTTGGTTGATTGTAGATCAGTGCAGAACAGCTAATGACTCGATTGACACCCCCGAACACTATCAGTCAGTGTTAGGCCAACCAGCCAGGGTGAGGAAGAAAAGTACAGCCTGAGCATGAAAAGTATTTTCTTCCTGACTGAACTTTTGCCAGAGCTTCATATGAATAAACCTGAAGTGACGGCAGAAAAGAAAACCTGTCTGTTCATCAATTAATTGTTCCAGCACTACTTTCAAGAGATGCAACCGCCATAAAACGTGCCTGTAAAACATTTAAATGTATGTAAAGGATATGTTTGCGTGTGGTCATCTCACATTGTGACACATCAGAAAGCACATTTTTGGAATTGTGGTGTGGGTATATGATACAGCAGCAGGAATGTGTCTGACCCAAACAATAACATACATTATGGTGTACACAGTGTGTGTGTTATTGTTTGACTGAGAGGCCTGTCAGAGTAAATAGCAGGGTTTGAAACAGGTTTCCATTCTGACTCACAGTACAGTGATTATAGAGAATGCCTATGTTCGTATGATCAACAACACCATAATTAACTTTTCAGCTCTTTAAAGGAGAGTCTGATGCCAGTGATCGGTCTTTGCTTTCAGATTTACATCCTGTTTTAGGAGAGAAAGACGTTAAGATGCTCAGTTATCTGCTGGTTTCTCTTTCAACATTTAATGTAGTCATTACAGGAGATTATGGATTCATGAATCTGAGCCACAGGGTGAGTATCAACCACAACTTCAATGTTCAAATTTTGATTTCAATGCTATAAATTAAATTAAAGGAAGTCTTTTATGTGGTCGTTTGCAACATAAAGCCACAGTGCCCACATGCACCAGTGTGCCGGCTAATGAGTTGCACCAAGTATAGAAGTTTAAAATAGCTTTTAAGAGCTTCCTTCCACTTCAGTGGCATTTATTGATCATCAGGCATGTCAGCAAACACCAGTCACACAAGCGAGGGGGTTTTTCAGTGTGAAAAGTGAACCAGCTGCAGTTTGAGTCTAAAAAAGGTCTAGTTTTATTGCTGAGAGCAGAATGTGTGTTCTGATGATTTGCGAGTGTTTTCTGATGTAGTAGGTCGCGTTGGAGAGCTGCGAAAGCTGTTATGACACTGGATGATTTAATGTGAAGCTGTTTTGGTAGGGTCAAATTTGTGTGTGTGTGTGTGCGCACTGAACTGTATGTTACTGAACATGATAGCTCTGTTGAGAGGCTCAGACCAGCTCTTCTTGCTTTACTCACCACATCTGTTGTACATTAAAGTACAGCTGTAGTCTTTCCTGACACACACACACACACACACACACACATAGAGGAAGTAAATCAAACGGCTGCTCATTTATGTCAAAGGTGACATTTTCTCTATCAGTAGAGATTCACTCGGCTGTCAGTCATTCGCAGCTGGTAGAAAGAAAACCAGAATAAAGGACAGAAAACCAGTAAAGCTCCCACAAACATATCTAAAAGTCGAGTTGCCTGAGTGCAGGTGATCAGTAGAGCTGTACCAGACTTATGTCAATCAAGTCAGATTAAGCTGTTTATAACGAATAAATGATGATTAGTTTCTTTGAGCGGCGCTGAGCAGGACATTCAGTGTGACAGTGACATTAATGGCAGTTTGGAAATATGCAACAATATTTTTTGACACTAGACATCAAACAAAAGCCAGAGACTGTGTTGTATTATTTTTGATAATAATTATAATAATAAAAAACTCTATTTATAGAGCACCTTTCATACAAGAATACAACACAAAGCGCTTTACAAAAACGGCAGTATAAGCATTGAGTGCTTCACATGAAAACAGACAGAATGAACATAAAACAGAACTGAACTGATTCATAAAATCAAAGAGTTGTAAAACTACGAATCATAAAATCAAGTAAGATTTTAAAAGAGTTGCAGCAGCGTGATGTGTAATTAGAAAGTAAAAGCATAAAAAGATCTGTATCAGGAAGTCAGAGCTAGTTAAAGGCTAAAGTGAACAGAGACGTTTTTAGCTTTCTTTTCAAAATATTTAGCGAGCTAGCTTCCCTGATATCTATAGGCAGTGTGCTCCATATCTTTGGGGTGTAACAGACAAAGGCTGCATCCCCGATCTTCTTCCGGCTGTTACTGGGAACCTCCAATAAACCAGCAGCAGATGATCGCCGTGTTCTTGGAGGCAAATTTAGCAATGTAGCTCGGTCCCAGCCCATGTAAGGCTTTGTATACAAGGAGGAGGAGCTTAAAATCAATTCTAAATGTAACAGGAAGTCAGTGCAGAGCAGCTCAGACTGATCTGATGTGCTCTCTCCTCTTGGTTCTGTTTCATAGCCGAGCTGCAGAGTTTTGAATGAACTGAAGTCTCCCAGTGGTGTTTTTCAGGAGGCCAGTAAAAAGTGTATTACAGTAGTCGAGTCGGTTTGAAATATAGACATGAATCAGTTTCTTAGCATCTTTTTCATTTCGAAATGGTCGTACCATAGCTTTGTTTCTGACGTAGAATAATGATGTTGTCGTCATCTTGTTAATGTGGGACTGGAAGCTTAGATTTGAATCAAGGATCACACCTATTTGTAACCTCAGATAACAAAAATAAGAGTGCTCGACTTGAAGTAACCTCTCTGACTTTCAAATCTCTGACTTCCAGGAGGCAGCCCTAGTAATCAGACATGGAATTAAAATAATTTTGGTATACATTAAATGCATTTTACCCCTGAACCATTTGGCATCCCTGCTGAGCATTACCTGATCATCTAAAAGAAAAATGAATGCCCAAAGATTTCACACAGAAGTTTTTTTTTTTTTTACACGTGAGCTCTGGCAGTGTTTGCATGTGTCGTGTCTTCTGGGTTTAATTTAGTATTGTATCATTTTGTACCAGATGTCTTTGGGACGTACATGAACATGTTCAAGGTTTAAATAATTGGAACTTTGAGCAGCCTGAGACATTAGAACAACCTGTGCAGACTGTTCGTAACACTACACACGCACTAGGAACAACAAAGAAAAGGAAGCCAGCACTGCAGTGTGTACTTTGAGTCTTAACCCTTTTTCTAAAGTAAAAACATACACCTGCAACTTAATTTTCTCGGGTTACACTCTCATGAGATCATATTTACAGACACTAAAAGAGGGACTATTGAATGTCTGTGGCAGGTGTGTTTATTCTGCTGTATAAACTGAGAGAGAAAAGGCAGGAGCTACAGATAAGGGATTTGTTTGTGTATCGTCAGCAGGGGGAGAGGATGTGGTGCTGAATACAGCAGGTACTGTTCAAATAATGCCTGCAAACCATATTATATTCTCTCAGGGCTGCTGCGCTCTTTAAGTTTTCTTTAAGTTTCAGTTCAAATAAATTGAAGAGAGAGAGTCCATGCCCTCTCCTCACTGTGTTTTCTTTCTGATTGTAATGAGATTACAGCTGAATGTTACAAGTTTGCACACTTTGTCAACTGAAAGATTATTTCATATTAAACGTACTTCTCTTTTTGTTTATGTGTTGGTGTCTTCCTTCAGAGCGTACCAACTCTAAACCCATTCTGACTGGCACTCACCCCGTCAACACCACCGTGGACTACGGAGGAACCACATCTTTCCAGTGTAAAGTCCGCAGTGACGTCAAGCCAGTTATTCAGTGGCTCAAAAGAGTCGAACCAGGAGATGAGAATAAATTTAACTCCACCATCGAGGTACAAACACACACAGTGCAACAGGCAAACACAACACTCTGAGTCAACTTGACTGAACTGGTTGATAAATTTTGTGTAATTTTTTCAAAGGTTGGAGACCACCGCTTTGTAGTCCTGCCTACAGGGGAGGTTTGGTCGCGTCCTGACGGATCCTACCTCAACAAGCTTCTGATAACCAGAGCCAAGGAGGAGGATGCCGGCATGTACATCTGCCTGGGCGCCAACACGATGGGCTACAGCTTCAGGAGCGCTTACCTGACTGTGCTACCAGGTCACAAGAAGACAGAAAGAGAAACTAACATTCACACATAGAGAACTGTCTGTGATTTTTGGTTTACAATACCAGAGAGGACAACACTTGATCAGCAGGTTTCATTAGAGGAAGTTAACCTAAAAAGTTAACTATGCTTTATTAGATACATTTCCTAGAGTCCTTACAGATGGGGTTGTTTCCACGATAGAGTTGTGACGACATATATTATTGATAAGCTGAGAGTTGTTCATTAAAGCAAGTTTGTTTGAACATTAGATGATGTCATATTTTCCATCACTAATTTCCTCATCTCTCACTCCTTTGCAGATCTGAAGCCCCAAAACAACGCTGTTCCCGCAGCAACATCCCCGAGCCTCCCCTGGCCTGTCATCATTGGAATACCCGCAGGTGTCGCCTTCATATTAGGCACCGCCCTCCTTTGGTTCTGCCAATCAAAACGCACCTGCTCCTCTTCTTCTTCTTCATCCTCCTCTGCTCTCCCCGCTGCTCAGCGTCTACCTGCGGCCAACCGTGACCGAGCCTGCCCGGCGCTGCCTCCTCAACCAGCCAACAGCGATAAAGATTGTCTCTCATACGAGGACTACATCGCCCATCAGCAGCTGCTCCTGGCTCAGGGCGGCACTGGATTGGTTCCCAAAGTCTACCCGAAGATCTACACGGATATACACACGCACACGCATTCACACGTGGACGGGAAAGTGCACCAGCATCAGCACATTCACTACCAGTGTTAGCACGCTTCTGGTGTCTCACACTCTTACATGAACATGTCCCAGTGCATGCCTCCACATCGGTCCATACTAGCTGCTGACACACAGCAAAGAACAAGAGACCACACAACTCTTCGTCATTCTGCTCCAGCCTCGTTAATGTGTGAACACAGACTTATTCAACACACAAACTATGAAGAATGTAAAGAAAGATCATTATTTGTAGCCTGTCCAGAAATCTATGAGAGAAAAATCCCAAAACATATTTTATTCAAAGCTTTTTTTATATGAAATATTTTCTGTAGATTATAAATCTCTCTTTTTTGCTCAAAGGCTTTATCTGAAGAAACAATGAACTCTGCAGCTTCAAGGTAACGTCACAACCCAACAGTTTATCTCTCCTTTTAGTTCTCTGGACACAACCACAACTTCCTCAGTGACAGAAACAGCCTGCCTACGCTACTCATGTATATAGTGGAATACGATTATATGGCATTTAGCACGCTACTTCATCCTGGGTTATCTATAAAGAATAATATAGCATGTATGTAATGAAATAGCTTAATGTCAGAGTATATTTCCAACTGAGCCATAGGACACACAAATTAAGGCGAACTCCTGATGTATCCACACCCTGGGCAAGAAAGAGGGCTGCCAGGTGTTCTGATAAATGTCCAGCTGCTATCTGGGTACTGTGTGGAGAAAGAGCTGATGTCAAACTGGTTCAGGCAACATGGATCTCTCTGAGTAGGTCGATTTTAGCAGCTCCTCCAGAAGCAATCATCTCCCAACTCCAATAACTACATCTACTGACAGTTCTGCCTCTTTACTTCCTGGAGGAAAGCAGCATTTTCTGTTTCACGTCATCGCCATTTCAGCTTTGTTTGACGCTCGCTGACTTTAAAAGAGAGGGATGAAGGATATCAGTTCTCCTCGTGTCGTACGTTCAACCTCTTCAGCCACCAGTGCAAAGGGATCATCGACAATGCCTCGGTGTAAAACGGTGCCTTCTGAGAATTGTTTCCAGATTTCGCGGATCGCTGTCGGATCAGCGGATATGTCACAGACTCTTGTTAATCTGTGATGAGATTTAGAGGGCTCAAAACAGAGGAGCTTCATCTTAAACTCTTTAACTTAAAGTCCTCGACTCTTCTTCCTAAAGCGCCTCGCAGTATGACCTCATGCGTGATGGAGCAGGGTTTGCATGTGCTCTGCTCTCCTCACACGGCTTGTTAAGGAGCATCTGTTGTTTTTATCTAAAGAGGAAATGTTTTGGATCAAGTGCTGCCGTCTCACCTGCAGAGTTGTCTGTCAGTATGATCTGGAAGATGCACGATGTTGCAGTCAAAACCTTCCAGATGCTACGAAGGTAAAATGATGGGATGCAGCTTTAAAGTAAAACAGATTTAGAGCCATATATTCAGCAGAATGTTATGTTGATCACTACAGCAGCGCCCACTGCCGAGCTACAGGTACATTAACTGCTCTTAGTGTTGTACAGTGGCAATGAATTATAATAGTTACATATCTGATTCTGTGTTTTGATTCATCTGCAGATTTACCACTAGTTTTATTGACCAGAGATCTACAGATGTGTTTGAAATGCATTTACAGGTGGGGTTTAAGCATTTTCACACTATTTGATTACAGTTCAGTCTTATAAAGCCCACACACAGACACACAGAACCATGGTTCACCTCCACACTTGTTTTTACTCCTTTTGGCTGATGAGACCTCCTCTAACCTGTGTGTTGTGTGTTTGATTAATATTTCCCTCCCTCCATGTAGTTTTATCGCACCTTCAGGGTTGGGACAGACCTTTATCATTCTCATTAATACAGTGACTACGTTTACATGCACACTAATATTTCATGATCACACACAGGTCATGTAAACAGGTTATGCCGCTTGAATATTTCGAATTATGCTTTGATCTAAGATGTGCCAATAATATTCAGGTGTTACGAGCATTTCTGGCATGTACACAGCTCATTTGGAATATGTATCTCAATTTTATTTTTGCTTTACTGCAGTTTGCAGCTCTGTGTGGTGTACACAAACCAACCAACCAGCCAACAGTTTGCAAGGCCGGCTACATGCATGCCCAACAAAAGAAAAGCCCACGTTTCTTGTCGTAAGAAAAAACACAGCTACTTTTAAACATTATAAAAGAATTCAGCAGGTTTTTGTATACGTGCAAATATCGCAGTGCCGACCTTTTCAAGAAGGTCAATCCCACAAGTCTGTCACGGGTGGAAAATTTTTAAATTTCCTAATTTGTTTCTAACAAGCAAAAATGGTGCGAGTGGCTCTAGCTGTTCCACTTTTACATATTTTTGATGTGATAAACAACATGTCAGGGCTCAGCGTATCCTCATACAATGGTTTGTATGATATCTAACAAATTTATTAGCACCCCACAAATGACATTACATACTTAATGTTAACTTACATAAGTTCAATTTAGGGAAAGAAACACGGTGTCTGAAAATAACTCAAAGTTCACTTGGTTTTTCATGGGACACAAACACCAGTCTCCTGGGGTAAAGTCCTGTGTTCATTGACCCATCCACCTCAACCTGCCTTCTTACATGAACTTTCGCTCTTTTTACTACTTCCTTCTTTACTCACATCAGCGTATTGGTCATGTGATCGCAGCCTTTCTGATTATGTTGGTTATACAAGAAATACTGGCTCTTACTTCTTCATTACTTCTTGTTGGTATCATACGTACGAACAGTGTGTAAGAACAGCCTGTAGAGCTCGTTAATCAAAGTAGGCATTAATTTTCTTTATCCATATTAACAGCTCAGTGGGAATACCGCCTGTACTGGAATAAGGGCAAAACCCAGAATATTTTGTGCATGTAAACACAGTCAGTGAGTTTGGTTAACTTTGGTAATTCCCAGCGCTGCTCCTCCTGGCTTCATCCTAAGAGGCCGTTTACACGTACACAGTGATTTTGATAAA